ACCAGAGCTCCTCCAAAGAAATAAAATGTTCTGTTCTTTCTCAGTTTCCTTAAATATCCTGTATGTGATGAGTCACTGTAAGGTGTGGCCTCCACGCCTTAAGGTGTGGAATTGCTGGGAATTTAGTTAAGCTTTTAACTTCTCAAGTTGACATAATATATCAACCACACCGGCATGCACAACTGTGAAAAACAAATTTCTATAGTTTGTAATCCAACCAATTTATGGCATTATGCCATAGCAACCACAACAGACTAAGATAGACCCCTCTATCCCACCCATTGTGAAAACTCTGAATGCCCCTTGGGTACTGGATCACTTCACTTGCCCACATGAGGAACTGTTCTCAGTATTCAGCACATAGTAGGCACTGAGGGGATATTTGGTGAAAAGTAAACACTTTTTGGTAAATTACTTTTCAGAACTATTGTGAAAGTTTAATAGCTAATTATGTGTTGTCATTCATTTAATGGTCTTAAGACATTACTTTTTCCATGTAAAAAAGATACTTCATTTTAATTACTTAAGATGAAGTAGAAAAATTTCCCCATGTATTTAGTCACAGTTATGCACTCATTTTTTGTATTAAACTTTCTTTCCTTATCTGTAACAACTCTTGTCTCACATAATGAACTTTTTTTGGTTTTCCCTTTAAATGTTTTAATCATGTTTGCACAGGCAGACATTTTTAATATTTATAAAGCCTCATCTCTCCCCTTTTCTTTTGTGGCCTGCTGAAGTGTATGTTTTCACTGGTAATACATTCCATTAAATGAATACACTAGCAGTGCCTTAATATGAGTTATTTATATGGTTTCCAGGTTTTTCTCTTCTAGTGACATTACGATGAAGACTTCTGGACCTGACCCTAAAAGTGGAGCCATCTTATCTGGCTTTTTCATACCAGGACAGAATACCTGACCTAAAGAAAGGAAGACTTAATTTGGCTCCTAATTTCAGTCTGTAGTTGGGTGGCTTCAAGGCAGAAGCATCGCAGCAGAAGACTGTGGCTGAGCACACCACTCCTGTCTGCTCACTTCATTGGTAGACAGAGCAGAAGAGCATCGGGCAGAAGGGGCAGAGGGCAGGCACAATACCAAGGTTACGCTCCAACCTAGTCGCACCAGAGTGTGACATCTGCTAGGCATCTCATAATCTAGTCGAATTGACAATCAAGACTCATTTTCATCATATGCAGCAATATTTTCATAGTTCTTATCTATTTTCTAAATTGTTACTGGAATCCTAATTCCTAGATCCACAACTCAGATCCCCAGTTCCGAGGATTCAAATCACAGACCCTTCTGCCTCAGGACTCATGCCCTATCCTGGCTCTTTCTTTAAGAGACTCTGACATCAACCAGTCTTCATCCCATTATACTGTTTTTCCACTCCATAATACCTTATTCGTTTGCATGTTGCTATGGTTTATGTCTCATCCTCCCAAAGCCTCATGCAGTCGTGCAGCAGACTTCTAGTTTGTGATTACCTCATGATCCATTGGGATTATGGGTGTGAGTGCTGCTGGGATTATGGGTGTGAATGCTTCAGTGGGCCTGGGGCAGATAGCCTCAATGCAGTCTAAAGGAGGCAGACTTCCTCTCCTTAGCCACTGTTGCTGCTACTCCCTTTTGTTTGCTGCTCTTCGTGGCTGCTGTGAACTGCTGTCCCCCGCCATGTGCCACTCTGCTTGGAGCCAGCTGAGTATGGACTGAAACCTCCATTAACTGTGAGCTAAATAAACCTTTTCTTCCTTCACTTTGGGTGTCGAGTATTTGTTCCAGCAATGAGAGAACTGTAACGGAGACACATATTTTTTTTTCCAGTAATTATCTTGTCCATCTGTTGGTTGTAATCTCTCCGCACAAGGAACAGTTTCTGGTACCAACTCATCAAATTTGCTGTTCAATGGAATCACCAGTGAAGGTTTTAAAATTTACTTGTCTTGATCCTGTTTAATTATTAAATCACTTTAGCAAATACATGTTAACTATCATACTCTCTGGGCAAAAGAGAATATAGTGGATATTCTCAAGTACATTTATCCACTGCTGTGTAGTTGTATCCTTGTTAAGTCCTTTTTGATGTAGTGAGTATTATGAAAACTATGAACATTCATGGAATTCATAAAGCTGTCATTCTTTGGAAAATATATGGGAAAACTCATCCAGGAAATTCTGTGTGTGTGTGTGTGTGTGTGTGTGTGTGTGCTGGGGTGCTTTATCTTCAGTTCAGAAATTGGGGTTTAAGTCAACTTGCCTCCATTATTTTGCTGTAGAAATGTTACATGCTAAATATAGGATGAGTAGCCAGGGAGATGGCTCAGTAGAATAAGCGCTTCCCTGGCAAGCGCAAGGGTCTGAGTTCAATCCCTGCTTCTGCCAAAGAAATAAAAAATAAAGATAAATAAATAAATATAGGATGATTCATGGTAAGATTTTACCACTTGAAAATAGACCCACATATGATAAAAAAAAAATGTTCAAAGAGAGCTCATTTAACCTGAGGGCTCTTATTTATGGATTCTGAATTTTCTGTGCTGCTGTGATCTATAAGAAAAAATAGTGCACGCATAATGTAGGTTTCATTCACTACCACATCGTATATAAAATGATTTAGTCCAAGGGAAAAAATCTAGCATTCATGCCTCTCCAAGGTTCAGTTAGATCAGATACTCTCTGATGGTATACTCTGATGATCTCACTGTGCAGACAAGCTTGAGAGACACTAAAATAGAGGGATCTCAGAAATACTAATGGACAAAGAGATGAGCAAAAGTACACTGGGAACTGGAAATCTGGTCAGTGGTCCCAGCGTTGCCATTCACATGCTGTGCACCTTAGATGTGTCACTCTACTTTTCTGAACATTCATTGCTATACCACACACACTTTAAGGTTTCTTCCTGCTGCAGAACTTCATGGTTTCTCTTCTTGGGCCAGAACCCCAAGTAGTAGGACCATGAGAAGCCTAAAAACAGAATGATAGAAACCTTCATTCAGAGTAAGGTGATGAACAGGAAGCTCTTTACAGTGCCATTCATTTGCCCTGAATGGGAAGAGTACTTGTGAGGCAAAGGCAATCTGGCAATTTGAAGAACATCACACAGCTTTGCGCTGAATATAGAGAGAACTACAGAAAGACCTACTGCTAATCTCCAAGTAGCCCACTAGAGACACAGAATGCATAGATTTAGATTTAGAGAAGAGGGAAATCAATGTGTCTGAGATATTCCTCACAAATCTCCTCTGTTACTGTTGAAGGTCTTCCCCAAGGCTATGCAAATGTTCTGCTGCTTTGCTACCATGGCTGTTTTGCTATTTTTTTCAAACCATTCTGCTACTCCAATTCTGCTACCGTTACCTTACCCAGACAATAAAATTTCTAACTAGCAAAGTTGGCTGCTTATGTTTATTTAAAACTTTGTAAAAGCATTTACAACAAGGGACCGGTGTTATAGTCTCCCTGAATCCTGTTATTCTCCAGGTCCTTTTTTCCCTGGGCTACTTTATATGCAGCCACTTAAGCTTGCCTGCTGTGTAAGATTTTGCTACCTGTCTGGAAGCATCAGTACCTATTTAGTCACTCTATAGTGGTCACAAATAACTACTTCCCTCTATTTTCTCTCAACCAATACCATTTCAGTGAAGGACAGTTTAAAGGTTACAAACATGTTATTTGGGAAATTATGAGAATGAGCATCTTAGAAACTAAGTTTTCTTTGCTTTAAAATGGATGAGCGCAAGAGGTGATGCAACCCAGACAGGAGGGTTCCCACCTCAGCACCTGATCTTGTGCATTTAGATTTTCTTAAATTATTGGGGACTGAGAACTGGGGCCTGGGGATGGCCCATAGCTCTGAGTAACATTTGCTAGCGACATTGAAGGAAAAAATGATGTACTAAGAAATGAAGGGCTTGTGTGCTCTTGTTCCAGACAACCTTCTCTTTTGTCAGGACAAACTCTACATAGAGCATAAAAAGTGTAATGATTTTTTAAAAAAAAATAAATACTTTTTTTTTTTAAGAAAGAAGTTAACGGTAGAGAGAGAGAGAGAGAGAGAGAGAGAGAGAGAGAGGAAGAACCTCCTGGAGCTCATTGCCTCACACTGCTCCCCACCTCCAAGGATCTCTCTTTTTAAAGTTTTATTTTCATGAGTGCATTTCCAGTACTTAATTAATGCATTCATCGTGGAAAGTGCTACATGTAAAGAACATATCTTAATTCTTTTTTCATTTCCTTCCCTCGTTCTCTCTATCTTTTGGTTCCCCCTCCCTTTTGTAAAGGGTCTGTTCCATACCAAAAGATTTTACACTGACTTCTGTCTTCCTCTCTAAAAAAGTAAAAAAAAAAAAAAAAAAAAAAAAAAAAGCTGGAGCAGCTATTTGGAGACGGCATGGGGCTTGAGGCCAGAGAGACAATTCTTTTAAACAGCGCATAACATAAGTGCTGTGGCAGCTAAAAAGACAGACGCCTGGGAAGCTGCATTCTTAGGCATGGCCCTGAGGCCCTGGATGGGGGCAGCAGGGGATGCAGGGATGCTGTCCCAGTAGAGATGTTATGAGTTCAGATACCAGGGAGAGTGAAGAATGCCTTCTTGGGGGCTACGTCCTCCGGTCCATATATCGAGAAGTCGCCCAGAAGCTCGTTAATCAGGGCTGGAGCCCGGCCCGGAGCTACAATGCCCAAGCTTATCTGCGTTCAGATCCAGACCCGGGAGCTGGAAGTACAGCTTGTAAGGAAAACCGGACTCACTAGGAGCATCTGATGCCTGGAGAAGACAAGAGGTAGCTGGAATGCAAAATATCCTCAAGAGGCGGAAAGAATATCTTGCATGAATGCCCTCGGAGGAAAATTCAGAGGCCTTGCACGAGGACCCAGCACCCCACCGACTCCGCAGGGGCAGGGCAGGTCCTTCCAAGCTGCGCATTCTGGCCCCGCCCACCCGAGCCGCGCCGCCCTTGCGCAGGCGCAGTGGACCCGCGCTCGCGCGCCGGCGCGCATGCTCCGCCGAGCCGCTGCCGCCGAGCCGCTGCGCCTGGGAGCCGGCGCTGGAGGCGGCGGCGCAGGAAGTTTCCGCTTTGCACCACACCCCGGTAGCAGCTTTGCTGCGGGGACAGCTTCCTCCGGACGCTCGGTGGGCTTCTCGGCCACCTCACGTCACCCCAGACGGATCATGGGGTTGCCCAAGGGGCAGGAAGGCCAGGGTCTCCCCGAGGTAAGGGGCTCCTGACGCGTCGGGTTCCTGAGGAGAGGCCGAACGGCAGGGGGCGGGCGGCGAGGGGCGCGAGGAGCCTCGAGGGTGTGCGGCCCCGCTCCTCAGGTGTGCCCACCGCCGGGAAGCACCGGCCTGACCGCGGAGCGGGGCGAGCCCGGCCCTCTGTGTGCGAGGGGCGGCGGGCGGCCGGGGGCAGACTTGAGCGGCTCGCGGGGCGCCCGGGCGGAAGGGCCCCTCCAGCGCGACCCCTGCCCTGGCG